GCAGACCTTGTGAGATTAGCAGGGCTCCTGTTGACAGCGTTGGCTGCTTGGTACTTGGGATACTTACTCACTGTATGTCTACCCAAAGAGACAATAAAAACATCTATTGCTAATCTTCAAGCCATTGGAAAGAAACCAGTGTTGAAGGGTGTGTAGTTGTATTTAATTTTTTTTTTCCTTATACTATATTTAATGTTGTGTATTTACATGGTAAATGACAAATGGCTTGTTAGCTAATAAATTATTTGATATGTGCTATTATAAGAATGAATTTGTGTAGAGCTAATTAATTAGTGCAAGTCTGAACTATTTCTTAGATACTATCTTTGAAGAAACATAATGTCAGCCTGTATTTGCTGGTATGCAAATATAATTAATTGAATAGTATCGTAAGGACACCTTATTTGTTTACCAGCATATAAGCACAAAGCTGCAGCTTTGGTTCTATCACATGTATTTTGCAGTTACGGTAAACTGTTGAATCACTAACCAAACTTTGTGATTGAATTCTCATTATTTCTTTCCTCTAAGCTGACTGGGTGGCTTAATACGTACATTTTTCTCATTCTATGACTATGTTATTGTGTGAAAAAGGTGGTTATCATTCTCATTAAAATGCAAATGATAACCATTAACTTTGAGGTATTGGTAGGAATCCTTCATCCCTCTAGCCCTTGTTTCCTGTTATATGAAATAGCTCAAAATAATTACTCTAGATTCAAATCAGATCATACTACATGAGGCATTTTTCCCTAGGTAAGCTTGCTCTTGGTCCCAGCAGCTGTTTGAAAGTCTTGATAATGATAACTTAAAGCCCAGGCAAATCTGTGATAATGTTGCCATGATACTGGAAAACTGGCAGGATGGGCTTCTGTGTATCCATGTTTGAGCTTAGCATGTTGACATTGATTCTTTCCATGTAGAAATTGTTTATGCGGCATCCAAGAAAACATTTTCTCATCTTTGTTGTTGTAGCCCCAGTCCCAAAAAGGCAGAAGTGTGATCACTGGTCCCCCTGCTCACCTGGGAACTACGCCTATCGGATTCTTACTGGTGGTGGCAAAGGAAAGCTGGCGAAAATTTGTTTTGAGGATGAGCTGTGAGTACCAGTCTAACTTTAAAAGCAAGTGCTTTGTAGTGTGAAGAAGGCTGTTTCATTTTGGTTCACCAGCAGCAAGTAAGCTCCTACCAGGGGAGTCCTATTTTGGTGATAAACTTCAGGATACATCTGATAGCATTTAACTCTTCCCCTTCCCCCCCCCCCCCCCACCCCCTTGTTTTTTTTTTCT